GACAATCGTAATGAACTTATATCACTTTTCACACACGCATCGTAATGAACTTATATCACTTTTCTTTGTATGGTATTAATATTCTTCTTCATCTTGTATGCGCTATGTCCATTCAAGACGTGGTCACTCATGGTTCTTCACAACGTCCTATCATTTGTAGCACTTAGCAAGGTTTTTTTAATTTTCCTATCATTTCCACTCTTCTGCCATTCATTTACAGAAACTCGTTAGATAGATTACTACCTATTTCTCGCTGTCTCCTTTGCCTCCAATATGTCCAGTGAGTGTCAAATTCTCCAAGCCTTCTTTTCTCATTATACGTTCCAGAAATCTCAGCTGTTTCTTTCTAAGTCTAAGTCCTTTTTGTTTTCAGGTTTCTTAAAACGTTCTTGTTGCTCACATGCTAATTCTGTGGTATTCCCAGCATCCTTCTGTAGAAACACATTTTCTTAATTAATCTTCTTTAATCTTTTTCGCGTGATATTAATATTCTTAAGGAATAACTAGTCAAGAGTAAACTGAAATTCTCTATAAGAAAAGTTTTGTTTGTTTAATATCACTTTCTCTCGTTTTATCCAACATCTTAAAAGAATGTGTTATCATGAAAACTGTAATCTCTTGTTGAATTATGGGGTGGTGTGTTATGTACGGTTACCTCCCCTAGTTTTAATTATTGGTGCCGTGATTTTTGAAAGCATCGCTCTCTTTCAATGCTGTCCACCTGAACGAGTACATACGCTTTACCTCTCGCAACGCACTAGATTAACTGTATGAAGAATAGTATCACTTCCGAAATTTCAATTAAGGATTTTGTATAAACATTCACATGGTGACGTTCCTTTGTTTCCATTGTAACATTTTGGTTGTAGAAAAAAAAGGAGAGCAATTTAAAGTTAAGGATTAGAAGAGAAAAAGATCAGCCAATAAAGAGCCCCATAGGTTGTTGGAATGATATCGTATTACTTTAAATACATTGGATTTGGCAGGATCATAAGTCATGCAAGAAGAAAAGAACGGTGTTATAGACAAGCGTATGGTTGCAAGAAAGAAATACGACAACAGTAGAAATAGATTTACGTGATTTATTTCAACAGGAACGTGTGGGTTTGGGACAGCTACCTTGTGGTAAAGTTCATAAGCCGGCTTCGAATCTTGGTTGATCTCTCATAGTAGTTCACACTAGTTGACGCTGGCGCTCCCCCTACTGACTGCTGCTGACCGCTCAGCCTGACCGTGACAGGTCTCTTCCCTGGCCTCCTGTTGACTGCCGTTGTACTTGTAAGCGAGAAATTGTACCGCTGCGGCTTTGGCGTATTGGCCTTAAAACAGCCGATGCAGCCGACTACGAAGTGACGACCATAGCTCGCTAAACAACAGCGAGACACAGAGGAGGTAACGACAATACTACACCTTTATCACTCTGCCAATAAATTACTACAATCTTTTTCTTTATGTACCTTGACCCCAGGGCGTAGACGATCATGACTCTCCACTACTTCCTGTTCTTTGTATCTGTTAATTAATTTTGTCTTTTTGTTATTTCTCTTAAACCCTGTCCCGCTATTCATTTATTCAAGCTCACTGAGTAGGTTATGCGTTGTTTTCCTCTGTTCCTCTTGCATTCAATCTGACTTGTGAGTATCAGATTTTCCAAACCCTCTTTCCTCATTAATATACTGTAGAATTTTCAACTCTATTCCTGATGCTAAGTATCTTTCCTTTTTGATTCCATTTTCTTCGTTGTTCACATATTCGGTCCCTGGTATCCTCAGCAACCTTCTGTAGAACCACATTTCTGCTTCTTCAAGTCTCTTTTTATTTATGAAGAGATTCTTCAGCATTCATTGCTCTATAGGAGGACATATACCATGTAACATTTCAGTACTTATTTCTTGGTTTCTAACAAGGTTTTTCTGTATCTTAATACTATGCTTAGCATCTTCAATGCATCTTTGTCTATCCAAATGTATCTTCGGATTTCAGCGTCGCATAGTAAACACTTTGCAGATATTAAATTGATGTACTTGCTTGATTTTGGCATCTCCGATTTGTAATTTGCATTTTTGGCTCACCCTTTTGTTGACAACCATGCCTTATGTCTTCATGCAATTGATATTTAATCCTTTCTTCTCGCTTTCCTTCACTACCTTCTGTAGGAGTTTTTTTTTTTATAGTTTTCTTTATGTGTCTGCTATCAACACTGCGTCATCTGCCTGCCATGTTGTTAATATTGTGGCCGCCAATAATGAATCCTGGTAGGACTTCTAATTCTCTCAGAATTGCCTCACTGTATAGATTGTATAAGTCCGGTGAGAAAGCACATACTTGTTTTACATGCCTTTCTATTTTTTTTTACATCTGGTGAACTTATTTTCTATCAGTATGTAAGAGGTTTACTGTCAGTATATGTCCTTAATTATTCTAATATCCTTCCTAAATTTCAAGGTTGCTGAGCAGTTCTAACAGATCGTTGTGGCGTACATTATTGAACGCCTTTGGGTAATCTATAAAACACAAACTTCCTTTTGCATCTTTATTTATTTTTCTGATATCTTTCCGATCATAAATAACGCATTCCTTGTTCCAGTGTCTTTGGCGACTTCGTACTGTTCTTGACCTACTTCCGGTCTGATTCTACTGCAAGCTCTAATTCTGTAAATCACTAGAGATGCCATTTTCTACACTGGGGTAGAAGAAATGAATTCATACCTTCTCCAAACCTATTTATCCGAAAGTGAATGCAACGACCTCAACCAGAATTTGAACTCCGTGTGCCACTTTTCGAACCAGTAAGCACGCACGCACGCACGCACGCGCGCATGTGGCCGAGTCGTTAAAACGTTCACTTACTGACTACGAGATCCGGGTTTGATCCCACCATCTGACCATGGTCGATTTCTCAGCAAGGTAACTTCTTGATGTTATCGGTCTGGAGAAGGTGATTCCAGATTGCGGCACCGTTGGAAATGTGTTGACCCATGCCTTGTGAGTGAAACGGGGTAGAAGGAACTCTTTGGGGAGCCGTCGATGGTTGTGTTAGCACGAAACCACAAGCCATCGTGGCCGAGGGTTTGAGCGTGTTATTTTTGTTCAGACTGTTGATCACGCTAGATAACTCGCTCTCTCCCAGAGACTGTAACTAAGGTCCTACCAGCATAGCTGCAGTATAAACCCCAGTTCGGCCCTGTGGATGTTGATCAAACACAAATATGACAGAGCAGGCGCCTGCAAATGAGGATTGGCTAGCCGCCCTAATAGATTATTATTATACGTCTATATTAAAATTAAATTTCTTGAACCCAATTTAATTTCTAACAAGGAAAGTCAATCGAATTTGAAAATCTTTCAAACAGGCAGTTCTTGTTCAGTGCAATATCTAAAACTTTTTAAATATAGACCGTTGGTTTATTTTACTCCAATCTCAGATGAAATATTTAAAAGATGCAGGCTACTTGCTTTGGGCCCTTAATCATGTCACATTCTATTCATTCTTTTTTGTGTCACGGCCCATAACTTATACGATAAAATCCAGAGAGAAAGAGTTTATTTTGAAATGAAGTACATTTTATGTGGCACAAGGCCGAAGGGGAAAATGAAGAAAGGTTGGTCGTCATTGACTATCCTACACCTAATTAATCTAATTCACGACCCATTCATTTTTACAATCGCCAAATAAACCCATCTATTTTCACACGAACCAACATTTACCAAAATACCACATATTCGCAGGGAACCTACCGAGACTCCATGATATAAAAAAAATTACGTAGGTACAAGAAAAAGAGAAAGCGAGAAATGCAGGGAAAGAAAGAAAGAAAGAGAAATACAGAGAAAGAAAGAAACAAAGAAAGGAAGAAAGAAGGAAAGAAAGTAAGATGAACACATCGAAAGAAAGAGAGAAAAATACAGGGAAAGAAAGAGAACTACATTGAAAGAAAGAAAGAAAGAAAGAGAGAAAGAGAGAAAGATAAACATAGGGAAAGAAAGAGAGAGAAATACAAGGAAAGAAAGAGAGGGAAATGCAGGGAAAGAAAGAGATAGAAATACATAGAAAGAAAGAAAGAAAGAAAGAAAGAAAGAAAGAAAGTGAGTGAGTGAGAAAGAAAGTAAGAAGGAAAGAAAGTAAGATAAACACAGGGAAAGAAAGAGAGAAAAATGTAGGGAAAGAAAGAGAAATACACCGAAATAAATAAATAAGGAAAGAAAGAAGAAAAACACAGGGAAAGGAGGAAATTTAAATACAGGAAAGAAAGTAAGAGAAATGCACTGAAAGAAAGAAAGAAAGAAAGAAAGAGAAATACACACACACACAGACACACACAATAAATAAATAAAGACAAACACGGGGAAATGAAGAAAGAAAGAGAAATTCAGGGAAAGAAAGAGGGAAATACAGGGAAAGAAAGAGATAGAAGTACATAGAAAGAAAGAAAGAAAGAAAGAAAGAAAGATAGAAAGATAGAAAGAAAGAAAGCTAAACATAGGGAAAGAACGAAAGAGAAATACAGAAAAGAAAGAGTGAGAAATACATAGAAAGAAAGAAAGAGAAATACAGGGAAAGGAATAAAGAGAAAGAAAGAGTGAGAAATACAGGAGATGAAAGAGAGAGAAATACAGGTAAAAGAGAGAAAAATACAGGGAAAACGAGCGAGAAATACAGGGAAAGAAAGAGAGAAATACAGGGAAGGAAAATGTCTGGCTGAGAAATGAGTATGCACCACGATGGAATGACGTCATTACTGTGTCAGGCTTTCGTTACATTCTCATCATAAAGAACATTTCTTTTATTGTTTATTTATGCGCTGTGTTCGTCTGACTCGATTGGAGTATTTAATTTGACAAGTTTTCCCATTTCACTGAAGCAGACGATAAACACATGAATGTGTTATAAATAAGAGCGTTATAAAGTGAAAACAATTGAAAACTGGCTTTTAGAAAAGGAACAAAATGAGATTTGAGAAAACTTAAAAGGTTTAAAAGCAAGACAATATTTAAAGACAATGGTAAAGAGAGAAAAGATGGAGAATATTAAACGCATTAGATAAAGACATGAAAGCAACCAAATTATCACTTTTAAAGCCAAACTTGTATATTGTCCGAGAAAGCACGTGAACAATGATTTCTCAATGGTTATTTTAGAATCTTACATGATGAATGCTGAGCTACATTGGAGGAATCATGACTGGGAATCGTATTCCTCACGGAAATGGTCAATCAACCTGACTCCTCGCGAAAATAGTCAATCAACCTAAGTAGGCAACAAGGATAGGTGGTGTAAGGATTTGGGCTAATATTGCAAGCAGTAAAATTATAGTCCCTTTAAAGGTGATGATGTCTTGATAATCGCAGAGAATTACAGCAAGTTCTTGGACAAAAGAATGTTTTTCAGTGATGCAGGTTGCAATCAGTCAAGCTAAATACTATATTTCTACAATAGAATATTTGTCCACTTTCTGAAAATCTATCTATTGCTTATATAAATATTTCAAAGACACCAATTTAATAGAACAGCTATTGATATTAATATATTAGATCTTCCTAGGGCCCAATTTCAAATATTATCAACAGCTTTCTGGATAGTCGCTTTGAAGTGGGATTATCCATAAATGCTGAAATCTATTGTTTTTGTTTTACATAAATAGTATCCGTACTCCGTATTTAATCATCTTTATACAGGCTCAAGTTGCTGAGTTTTGAATTCAGAGTTGTCTTTCTCCGATGTTGGTTGCCAACCACATCTAAATAGCCCGGTCCCTTCTATTTAACTCTTAGTTTGGGACCCCTGATATTAATCAAAGTAAAAATTTGTGATTGATCGTCATAAAAAATGTAGTATCTTAATAGAAGACGGAACATGCGACACCGTAATCCGAAGGCGCATTGGGATAGCGAAAGATGCCTTCCAAAAGCTAAGTAAAGTATTAAGAAACTGGAAAATTTTGTTAGAAACAAAGAAAAGAGTACTGAACTGCTATGTAACATTGGTCCTCCTATATGGCAGTGAATGCTGGACAACCTTATCACTGATGAAGACCCGAAGCAACAGAGATTTGTTTCTACAGAAGGATGCTGAGAATACAAGTGAGCACGACGAAGTTTTAGAGAAAATGGAAACAAAAGCAACATTTATACTTAGAATCAGAAAGAAATGGTTGAAAAATCTAGAACACATAATGAGGAAAGAGGGCTTAGAAATTTAACACTCACATGGTATATTGAAAGCGAGGACAAAGAAAAACAGCGCAAGACATACCAAACAAGGTTGTGTAAATAGTTGACAGAATATGGATTAGCAGAGAGAGAGAGAGAGAAAAAAGACAAAATTTACTAAGAGCTACAATGGAAAGGAAATTGTGAAGAGCCATGATCACCCACGCCCGCGAGGGACATGGCATATAGAAAAAGAAGAACATAAATGGTTGGCAGAACAGGAATTAATAGAAATAGCAGAAGACAAATTTTACTAGGAGCTACAAAGGGACAGATGAAGAACCAAATTATTTGAAAATTATTCTTCACGCAATTATATATTCTTTGCATTAGCTGCCAAATGAAATCGAACCCAGCCAATTATTCCACAAGTAAAAACACTTTTCAGAATTATTAAACTAAGTCAGGCACAAGGTGTTGCTAGCGTTCCAGAAAGACGAAGTAAGCTTGAATATCTCAGAGATTTACATTGGCTTCATTCATATTATGAAATCAATCCATCTATTAATCAATCAATCAATCAATCTATCTAGCTTTGTACCTATCACTGCCTGTTTCTATCTATCTATCTATCTCAACCGGTTCGTATCTATCTATCACAGTCTGATCGTATCGTATCGTATCGTATCTATCTATCTATCTATCTATCTATCTATCTATCTATCTATCTCAACCGGTTCGATCTATCACAGTCTGATCGTATGTGATTGTGATTGATCGTCATAAAAAATGTTTTTGTTTTACATAAATAGTATCCGTACTCCATATTTAATCATCTTTCTACAGGTTCAGGTTGCTGAGTTTTGAATTCAGAGTTGTCTTTCTCCGATGTTGGTTGCCAACCACACCTAAATAGCCCGGTCCCTGCTATTTAACTCTTAGTTTGGGACCCCTGATGTTAATCTATCTATCTCAACCGGTTCGTATCTATCTATCAATAGATAGTGATTGATCGTCATAAAAAAAAAAGACAGACTTTACTAAGAGCTACAATGTTCAGGGAATTGTGGTGAGCCATTATCGCCCAGGCCCTGATGGGACATGTTACAAAGAAGAAAAAGAAGAACGAACTTATGTAAATGGTTGGCAGAACAGAAATTAATAGAAATAGTAAAAAAGACAAAATCTATCTATCTATCTATCTATCTATCTATCTATCTATCTATCTATCTATCTATCTATCTGTTGTGGAGTATTTTCACAGTGGAGGCTTGTATTTCTAATAAGTCGTCCTAAATTAGGTCCGACGCACAAAACGTTAGGAACTTGGAAAATAAGAGTCAATGGCGCAGTAATCTAGTTGTGATGGTTGGTACTTCAAATGCCCGAATCTCGACTGACATTCTGCCAGACTTGCCAGTGCTACTCCTACTTATTATCTATGACAGAGTCCATTACAATAGAATAGGTACTATGGCATAACACTATCTATCTATCTATCTATCTATCTATCTATCTATCTATCTATCTATCTATCACAGTCTGATCGTATCTATCTATCTATCTATCTATCTATCTATCTATCTATCTATCTATCTATCTATCTATCTATCTATCTATCTCAACCTGCTCGTATCTATGTATGCATGTATATATATATATATATATGTGTGTGTGTGTGTGTGTGTGTGTGTGTGTATGTATGAAAACAAGGACAGAGGAAAACAGCGCATGACTTACTAAAGAAGTTTGTATAAATGGTTGACAGAATATCGATTAGGAGAGATAACAAAAAGGACAAAATTTACTCAGCGCTTCAAAGGACAGGAAATTGTAAAGAGCCATGATCATCCACGTCCGGAAGGGACACGGCACATAGAAGACGAACGAGCTTATGTAAATGGTTGGCAGAACAGGAATTAATAGAAATAACAAAAAAAAAAAAAAAAAAAAAGACAGACTTTACTAAGAGCTACAAAGTTCAGGGAATTGTGGTGAGCCATTATCGCCCAGGCCCTGATGGGACATGTTACAAAGAAGAAGAAAAAAAAGAACGAATTTATGTAAATGGTTGGCAGAACATGAATTAATAGAAATAGTAAAAAAGACAAATTTTACAAAGAGCTATAAAGGACAGAGAATCGTGGAGAGCCATAACAGCCTACGTTCCGAAGGAAACTGGCATTTAGAAGAAGAATGCGATAATGGAAAAGGGTATTCAAGTGAAAGGAACAATAAAATAACAATGAATTCAGTAAATGGGATTATGTGTTAAGAAAATATACTTTTTGTTGCTTATATCTTTTGAAGTTATTTCTAAATTAAGCTGGATATTTCATTTTGGTTGATTACGGTCAACAAGAAAGGATAAAATACCAACATGCCGACTAAATATTGGAGATGTAAACGCCATGTAAACGCCAAACAAGTACAAAACATTAAATATCTGAGAAGTGTTTGAACAGAAGATAGAAAATATGATGCCGAAATCAAATTGGATCTGTAAAAGATGCATTCTAAAAGCTAAACAACGTTCAAAGAAACAGGAAAAAATTGTTGCAAACAAAGAAATGACTATTTACATTATTTACATCGTCCGGTCTGTTGTCCTCACCTTTATTGCAATATTCACAACGTTTCGGCCATTGTACACTCCGGCTTTCTTCAGGTGGTATATATTGGAATTTCGAACCGAACCATTTATTTAGTGGACGGGGGGTGGATTGTTCTAATTCCACGTGCCATGCCTTTGGGTGTCTCAGTTTTGAATTAGTTTGCCTTGATAATTCACCAGGTTTTTGTTCTCTTGAGTGATCACATTGATCGCTCAACTTAACTCCGTTATCAAATGGGTTATGGATAACAGCGTTGGTTGAGTGATTCAAAAAGTGACTTGGCCTAAACGGTTGTGAGTTCAATATCTGGCCTCAGCAGAGGGAACAGAAACCAGGTTTTTTGTTCTCTTGAGTGATCACATAGATCGCTCAACTTAACTCTGTTATCAGCTGAGTTATTGTTAACAGTGTTGGTTGAGTGATTCAAAAAGTGACTTGGCCTATAGGGTTGTGAGTTCAATACCTGGCCTCAGCATAGGGAACAAACACTTGCAGAGCTGAGTTCCTAAAGGAAATTAACTGAAGCTGAGGTATCCAACAAAAGGCATGGCACATAGAATTAGTACAATAGGTTTGAAATTCCAACGTATATCACCCGAAGAAAGCCGGAGCGTACAACGATCGAAACGTCGTGAATATGGCAATAAATCCGGGGACGACAGTCCTGACGATGAAAATAGTGTAAACTTGTTATTCCCGGCCTACTCCTGGCATTCGCTTTTGTTATGACGTATATCAAGCTTCATACCGCTCAGTTTGTTTTTGTTTCCACCCTCTTTTTATCTCGACCGGATCAGCCTTTGATAATTCGCCACTCCCTAATTCATTTTGTCTCTTCCTTGCCCCTAGCGAGTGAGCTGCTTGATTCTGCTTAGCGTCAGAACACAGTAGGCTCTCTGTCGGGTGGACGGGTCCTACTAAAATATTTTAATTCTATTTTTCGTTAATGGGTACACTCCCACCAGGATATTTCATGCCATAATTTTATATATATATATATATATATATATATATATATATATATATATATACATATATATATATATATATATATATAAATTTTTATTGAGGTACCATTACAATAATTTATTTCACCGAAATCTTTTTAAAGGACTCCGGATCATCAGGTAACAATTCCAACAACGAAATGAAAGGAAAATGGAATTAGAAATTGATGGGTAGTGTAATTTTTGTAATTTAAAAGGAGGGTGAGAGTTGTAGTTAGAGAGACAAGGTAGAGTATAGGGAGGGGTTAATTTCATATCTCTCTTAATCATGATTTATATTGGGGTAGGAGGAGTGACCGAACCTTGACCTATTTAGATGGTTAACTTAACGGATTAAATGATATATAGGAATGGGAGGGGAGTGGGGAGAAAAGGAAAAATGGAAAAGAGAGAGGAGACAGACGACAGTAATCCAGATATATCTAAATGAGTGTTACGTAACTTATATATATATATATATATATATATATATATATATATATATATATATATAAACAAAAAACAACAACAATAAAAAACAACATTTGTATATATTTTCATGTCATGGGTGTATTAGTAGGATTCTTGTGAATATGAGGTATTATGTTATGTGTTGGTTTGAATGGCGATGAACGAATACTTGTGGTGTATGAGTAAAGTGTAATGAATAAATGGGTCGTGAATCAGATTAATTAGGTGTAAGATAGTCAGTAAAGACCAACCTTTCCTCACCCCTGTTTGGCCTTGTGCCACATGGAATGTAATATTTCAAAATATAAACATTAATTTGTAAGTTTACGTTAATAGAAAATGGATAATAAATTCCAGGAAATTATGTCTATACATATTGTATGAATTCTGATCTGACAGTTGACCAGTGTTGAATTGATCAGCGGCACCACTGCGTAACGTTGCGACAACGCGGTGACAACGTTGACGATCAGCGCTCAGTTTGAGGTCAAGAAAACAGTTAGAGTAACGTGGTCGGGGACACTAAAATCAAACAGGCGAGGAAATTTAAATATCTGGGAAGGACGGTAAGTGCGACGCTGAGATCCGAAGACGTATTGGAATGGTCAAAGACGCATTCCAAAAGCTAGGCAGAGTCTTACGAAACAGGAGGATTTCGTTGGTAACAAAGAAAAGAGTACTGGACTGCTACGTAATATCTGTCCTCCTTTACGACAGCGAATGTTTGACGGTCTCCTCAAAGATGAAGAAAAGACTCGAGGCAACGGGGGTATGGTTCTATAGAAAGATGCTATAGATGTTTTGGAGAGGATTCAAACAAGAAGGAAGCTTATACTTAACATCAAGAGAAGGCAGCTGAAATCTCTTGGACACGTAATGAGAAAGGAGAGCTTGGAGAATCTGATACTCACAGGGTGAATAGAAGGAAAGAGAAACAAGGGAAAGCAATGCGTGATATACCTAGTGGGCTTAAGCAAGTGGATAACAGAACAGGGTCTGGGAGAAGTAGCAAAGGGACAACACATATTGAGAGCTACAAGGGATAAGGGGAAGTGGAGAACCGTGATCGCCTACGTCCTGAAGGGACACAACATATAAAAGAAGAACGTCGTCATAATGTCACATATACCCAAATCAAAGTAAAACGTTTCTGCATCATTGAGGAACGACTAATATCTGGCGCTAAACAATGGTGCAAAAACTTCCTTGTCAGCTGGGATCAGTAGCTATCAGTTAGTGTCTCTCTATTTCTTTCTTTCTCTCTGTCTCTCTGTCTCTTTCTCCCTTTCTATATATATATATATATATATATATATATATATATATATATATATATATATATATATATGTCAAACCTGTGTGTGTGTGTGTGTCACAATCTGTTAATATCAAGCTATGTTAGTCTGTTCATATCTATCTATCTATCTATCTATCTATCTATCTATCTATCTATCTGTGTCAATTCATATCTATCTATCTGTGTCAATTCATATCTATCTATATTTGCATATTCATATCTATCTATCTATCTACCTATGTCAATTCATATCTATCTATATTTGCATATTCATATCTATCTCAGTCTGCACGTATCTATCTATCTATCTATCTATCTATCTATCTATCTATCTGTGTCAATTCATATCTATCTATCTATATTTGCATATTCATATCTATCTATCTATCTATCTATCTATCTATCTATCTATCTATCTATGTCAATTCATATCTATCTATATTTGCATATTCATATCTATCTATCTATCTATCTATCTATCTATCTATCTATCTATCTATCTATGTCAATTCATATCTATATTTGCATATTCATATCTATCTCAGTCTGCACGTATCTATCTATCTCAGTCTGCACGTATCTATCTATCTATCTATCTATCTATCTATCTATCTATCTATCTATCTATCTATCTATCTATCTAGTCAGCTAACAAAATGACGTTACCACAACGTTGTCTTATAACGTTGCACACACATTGCCTTGTAAAGTTACATTAATGGATAATAAATTGCAACGGTATGGTAACCTTGCGACAACATTAGGAATGGGCACTCTGTTTGGGGTCTGGAAAATAGTTGACTGCAACGTTACAGTAACGTCGCTACAATGTCACATCTACCCAACCAAAATACAACCTATCTCTAACGTCGGAAAAATGTTCTGTGTTGTGTAATAACTAAGTGACCAAAATAATTTATTGCCAAGGTTAGATATTATAAGCTGGAACTGAAAATATATATTGCTGGTATAAATGCAAACATATCCTGAAAATTTTCAATTAATAATTTTATTCATAAAAGATTGACTTGCATAATAAAATATACCATCGTGCAAATTTACGGATATATACGTGTTGAGTATTACGTTGCATATATGACCCTCTGTGGCCGAATCGGTAACAAGGCACGTCGGGCTATATGACGGTTTCGTGTAGGATACATGTTCGAATCCTGTCGGAAGACGAAAATTTTCTATGAAAATTTCACGGACATTCAGGCCGGTAAATGTTGTTTAATACTGTTTATTATAAACAGAGCATTTACTTAAATGTTTGTATCTATAAAAAAAAATGTTAAACATAAAAACGTATTATATATATATATCACAGTAATTCTCTATAGTCACAAGTAGTCTTGTTCACATTCTTAGAAAAGAAAGTTTCTCCTTTTTATTTCGGATTCGTAGTGTAGGTTCGAATGGCAAAATTTCTCTTGTCCGTAAGAAGAGGCAGTAGGAATGACTTGCTGTTTGCTAACGTTGACCTGGACTGCCTTCTTTGACATTTAGTCGAGTCGTAACTGCTATTGAGAGAGAAAGAAGATTTTTTTTTGCCTGGTCTCTGGCTGTTTATAATTTTGGGGGATTTTCATTGGTCAATAAATTACATCATATGCGGTCTTAGCAGCAGCTTGCTAAAATAAGAACCAGGCACTAAATTTAAATAGTGCTTGGAGTGATGCGCCTGCACTGTTTGCAGAGATTTGTTTTTCTTTAATTTTTGTTTCCCTGTTCAAAGGCAGTAATTAGCAGCGCGAGAGAATTTTCCTAATATCCTTCGAAAATATTTTAAAATTGTGATCACTAAGATTTAACAAAAGATCTAAATTTCCCAAAGAAATCTCAGGTTACTTCTTAAGCTATATTTCGGATATTCAACAGCTTAAAAAAAAAAAAAAGAAAGAAAAGATTTTCCATATTATTTTTAAACAGTCGATAAATAAAGCAATCGATTTGATACAGCGTCCATTTTCCTCTCCACAACGTTCGAAGGAAGAAAACGAACAATTATGCGTTTTTCGTTTTTAGGTTGAATTTCCTTTTGAGCGCGAATCTCACTTTTCCTGATATTTGAAATGCATTTAGTTTTATTCACACGAATCGATTTATCGATGTACTTTATTAGATTCTTATTTTAAGTATTTCAATTGTATTTTAAAATTAAAAAAAAAGTTCTGCTGTTATCTAAAACGCCATCAAAATCGCGTTTCTTTTGTTTCTAATGCGAGCGGTCTTGATCATTCGATGAAGAATCAAATTATTTGAAAATTATTCTCCACGCAATACTATTTTCTTTGTATTAGCTACCCAATGAAATCGAACCCACCCAATTATTCCACAAGAAAAAACATTGCACTTTTCAGAGTTATTAAACTAAGTCAGGCACAAGGTGTTGTGGGCGTTCTTAACGGCTACTTCCAGAAAACAGGAGTAAGCTTTAATATCCCAGAGATTTACACCGGCTTCCTTCATATTAAATACACCAATAAATAAATCATTCAATCTATCTATCTATCTATCTATCTATCTATCTATCTATCTATCTATCTATCTATCTATCTATCTATCTATCTCAACCGTATCGTATCGTATCGTATCTATCTATCTATCTATCTATCTATCTATCTATCTATCTATCTAACAGGTTCATTATCTATCTATCTATCTATCTATCTATCTATCTATCTATCTATCTATCTATCTCAACCTTACGAGTCTGTGTGAATGGTTGGCAGAACAGGAAGTAATAGAAACAGCAGAAGACAAATTTTACTAGGAGCCACAAAGAACAGATGGAGAAACAAATTATTTGAAAATTATTCTCCACAGAATTATATTTTCTTTGCATTAGAACAAAAGTAATATATAAATTCCAACGTTCACAGCATTAATCCAAATGAGGGCTCGATACCGATAGTAGAGCGATAATTATTTATTTATTATAATTTTATCATATAGACAAAACCATTTACTCACTACAACGATGCAATTCGTTTAGTGCATTTCAACTGCACTTCGACGGGTGAAAAATCGAAAGTCTCTCACCCGTCGAAATGCAGTTGAAATGCACTGAAACGAAGTTGTCTTTGTAGTGAGTAAAATGGTTTTTCTATATGAAAAATTATAATATATATATATATATATATATATATATATATATATATATATGTCATTCGAGACTAATTTGATAAATACTTTTGAAAATGCTTTCGTATTCACATGTCGGTCGATAAAGAAAAAAATTTCTATTTTTTTTGTGTATTTTTTATCCCCCGTTTCTGTTAATTGCAAAATTCTGTGAATGAATATGTTAGAATTATCATTTTCTCTTCGTTTTCAAAAGGATAACAATCTATATTTTAAGTATAGATTAAAGTTAAAACTTTACATAATATATTGCAATGAGTCTTCTGTCACCCCCACCCAGTCTTTTGCTACTCTATGTAACAATTCAAGAGTTGCCTCATTTTTCTTGTCTGTAGAAAACATTCCAGCATTTGTGAAAACCCTATAAATTAGACATATAGTTAGTGTTATGGTCCAGGTTAGGACCAAGGAAGAACAACACGAATACAAGAGTAGAAATAACGAAGGTATATTACACGAAATGATAATGCAAGATGTGGAAGGTGTTAGTATGACTGTCAGTCTGGTTTGGAGTAAACTACTATCGGCTCGACTCGATTCGATATCTAGCCACCCCCACGAGGGTTGCATGTGTCACAAGGCCGAGTTTAACGTGGGTTTCCCGAGCCCGTAGGCTCGGCCAAAAAATGCCCGTAGAACCCGTATAAACGGGATCGGGTTGGTCAACCTCCCCGAACGAGACTATGCCCTTCGGCGGAGCCTCGTCCGGGTTCCTCTCTGCTCGGAGGCAGAGAGAGAGTTCGACCGTCAAGCCGAGAAGCTCGGCTCGATTCGGTATCTAGCCCCCCCCCATGAGGGTTGCATGTGTCACAAGGCCAAGTTTAACGGGGGTTTCCCGAGCCCATATGCTCGGACAAAAAATGCCCGTAGAACCCGTATAAACGGGATCGGATTGGTCAACCTCCCTGAACGAGACTATGCCCTTCGGCGGAGCCTAGTCCGGGTTTCTCTCTGCTCAGAGGCAGACTTCGACCGTCAAGCCGAGAAGCTCGGCTTGATTCAGTATCTAGCCACCCCCCACGAGGGTTGCATGCGACACAAGGTCATTTTTATCGTGGGTTTCCTGAGCCCGTAGGCTCAGCCAAAAATATGCCCGTATAACTCGTAAAACGAGATCAGGGTAAATTCACCCTGAACGAGATTCTGCCCTTCGGCGGAACCTCGTCCGGGTTCCTTTCTGCTTAAAAGCAGAGAGTTCGACCGTCAAGTCGAAAAGATCGGCTTGATTCGTCCCTCTCTCTTGAGAGGCGTAGTATACATAGTATTAGGAAGAGTTCATTCTGCAGTTATAGGTAAGGACCCATGACAGTTAGGAACGTTCCTCCCACCCAAGCTTAGATTATTATTCTACCCTCCAGTATAGGCTAGAGCTACGGTCCTTCAATAATTATATACGAAATGAGGATAGAAGAGCAACTACTAGTGGACCCTACACTCGTGCGAGCACGTCTCAATGCCCGGACGCTTAGGCATGATGTTTCTAACCCAATATAAGTTCTGCTGTTTGATTCCTGAGTAAAGGTAATGGTTTCACTTCAGGTTGTATGCATGTAATTTCTTCTCAATCCTAGATAGGTTGTCTCTTCATTAACAGTGCTGGAGGTAAATGTCCCTCCGGGCCGGTGTTATTCGCCTGATAGTCAGGTATCCGACCCTTAAAGTAAGTCTTTAGAGGTCTATCCTATCAGTAGCTGCATAATACCTCGGCTACTGCACTGTTACTTTGTGAATGGGATCTGGAATATCTAGCTTTTTCCCGGTAGGGCCTTGTGGTGATATGACGAAGTGTACAGTTACGATAGGGCTTTCTGGGGATTAATGGGGGAAGGGTACGTATGCCCCGATTCCTCATCTTCCGAAACCAAAAACTGAACAAAGATAAAAGTCACAGTAGAATCAAACCCGAACCATCCACGCAAAATTAAACACCAATTTCTCCATCTCTTTCACTAACATAAGGGGTCTACGATCCAATTATCCAGGGGTTGAACTAAATCTCCTTGAGGTCAATCCCAATGTTCTTATCCGAAACTGTGCTCAGCCGTTTTATTCCATTTCAAGACTTCACAACCCAGGATTACTCGTCACTATTCCCTAAAACTGACCCCAAATTGACACGGCTATGGGTTTGGGGTCTGTATCAAGAAGGGGGTTCTCCTACGGAAGAAAATCCGAAACGAAAACCCTGACTTCCCATTTATATGATTTCGGGTGGTCCTTTTCATAGCATGTCCTTCGTCTTCATCATCTATCGTCCTCAGGATGATGGTAATGCTATGGTTGACAGAATAACGAAGATGATTGATGACATCACTTCCAGTCATCTCTTAGCTACCATTCACATTAGTGGCGATTTCAACATTCATCACAAGGAATGGTTAGTCCACTCAAATATAACCGAAGAAGAATGGAAATATTGTCACGATTTCTCCATAGCATACGAGTTGACCCAGGTTGTAGGTAAACCTAGTCGTGTTCCCGATACAACTGGGCATCATGCTAACGTTTTAGACCTTTTCTTCACCTCCTGTCCTGATCAATACTCCGTCGAGGTGTTACCACCGGTGCACACCTCAGACCATTCATTGATCTCTGCCAAGTTTGATGCAAAGCCAGACACGCGAAGATGCGCCATTTCATAGAATAATCTACCGATATACGAAAGCTGATTGGGAGAGTTTTCAGGTCCTACATTGCAGAAGCGCCTCTCTTGGCTTTCTTGAAAAGTAGACATTCCAGAATACTCTCCCTCATTTCGATAGATATTTAAAATATCCGACGAGACATGGAAAATGAAGATATTGATCAGTCTGTTCAAATTTTTACTTTGTTTGTAGCACCTCATATTTCTTGATCTATTCTGCGATATAAAACATAACTTGACAACACAGGAAAAAAAAATGGAACTCGGCTAGTATGTTCTAATACACCCGCCATATAGTTATCAGCAACGCATTCTTCTATTTACTTAGTAGCATCATATAATTCCATCGTTATGGAAAACGGAGGAATTAATTTCTGCCAATAAGGGAACATATCTTGTGTTATCATGACAATGAAATATCTCATTAGTAAGTAGGGAGAATGGATTACTAATTACTTGCTTTTTTATTATTTTTGTTTTGTGGGCGCTTTCCCTGGACTCAAAAAATTGTATTTTCAATGATTTTAAAAGCAAAATACTTTCTCACACGCAGCCATAGAGTTAATTGTATAAATGTATAGTTTTCTGAGCCTGATGCATTTCCCAAAATCATACTGAAGGACTAAACAGCAGAAATATTTTCTGAAAGAGCTTGTTGGTCGTACCGAGAACTTTTCAAACACCCCCATCGTAACTGTAACTATCATTCTGTTGGTACAGGCAAACAAGTAATAATATAGTATTAAATTTGAGTAATAAGTAATTTTCGTTTTGGAGATCTAATTGTAATGACGTATGTATCATCCTAACAAACCGTTCCTTAAATATGAACAGGAAATGAAAAGTGGGTTGCAATCAACAATGTTCAATCTAAAAAGCAGTAGATTGGCAAGGATAAACTCCCATAACCAACACCAAAAGTTGAGCAGAAAGCTAATATTGTGACAATGGTAAGATTGTCGGAGTATTATTAACTTACAGTTTCCCGCCTTCCATCATGACAATGCAAAGCCACATATAGCAAGGATAACACAGGAAAAAAAAATGGAACTCGGCTAGTATGTTCTAATACATCCGCCATATTACCCTGACCGTGCACCAACCAATTATCATCTTTTTTAATACCTGCAAAATGATTAGATGGGGAAAATGTCTATAATTAAAACTAGTTTTAAGAGTTCGTTGAAGATCTTTTCCCATTATAATCAGCAGAATTTTGCTCAAAAGTATCAAAGAATTGACAGAAAAGTAGCACAGACAATTAAGAATAATGGGGAATATATAATGAAATGAAATGTAATTGTACTTTATTTTTTGAAGAATACATTTGTTAAACAAAAACGAACTCATAGCTCGACCTAACAAATGTTATTTCTCCAATTTGAAAAATATATGATGGAGTTTTGAAATGTTATATAAAAAATATCGAATAATAATATCGAAAGATCAAACAGGATCCAATAATTCAAAGAAAGAATCCCGAATCAACTAATGAAAAAGAGAAATAACAGTTTTTTTCCTTAAAAAAAAGAATACGGATCTTTTCCAAAAAAAAAAAAAAAACCCCCCCAAAAACAAAAAACAACAACAAAAACAGATACAATCTTTGAATCGAACAAAATGAAGTCGAACGTAATTTCTGAAACGTAAAAATGGGGAAATAATCATTATATGTAATTTAAAATATATTCTTTCGCTTAAATACAAAGCAGGTTCATTTTGATCGTATTGAACAAATACACTTAAGTACGAGAAAAATCGTTAAAGTTTTCCTTGAAAATAAAACGGTAAGAGGTGTGCAACACTAAATTATAAGTCGTACCTTTTAAGTTAATAAATCAGGCATAATC